CTAGCGGTAAACCTTGACAATATTCAATAAAACAAGCTATGCCAAAGCCGGCCGAATCTTAGGATGTTTGCCATTCAGTTAAGCTTGCTTCCGTGAAACACGATGAAAGTCATGTGATTCGAGAGAATTCAGCTGTTCTCTGTTATTGTTTTCGTTATTAGTTGAAAGTCAATAATTAGAAGCGTATCCTCTCATAGACAATTGTCGGTGTTTGCTTAGCCGCTTGTTTTGTATTCACTAAAATTCACATTCCTTATTGGTGGATGTTTTTGTCAGAGATGTTTATTTACATTTCGTCTCTCTAAACAAAAAGATTATTTACCTTTTAACTTCAGTGTTAATTTTTGAGATGATGACTGGTTGGGTTTCCAACGCAGAAACTCTATCTCCCATGACCAGTATATTTAGTTGTTTAAGTAATTCACGAAAACGTGAAAGCAAACATTGATTTCATGAATAACACTTTTCAAACGAAAAACATTCATGTGTGTTCAGAATGCAGCGCTTTCTTATTGTTCTTTCCAAAGACACATTAGAAGCATCTGATTGTGAGGTTAATTTCATAAAGAAATGTTCACATTAAATGAGCCAAGATTAAAACAATCACCCGGACCAATTTTCTGAGACAGAGATCAATGAACTGGCTTTCATTGTCAATGAATTCATTTCTCTTCAACAAGTCATGCCTCTCGAATCATATTTGATGTTTTCGATCAAAAAAAAGGTTTCACTCTGAAGAAATGGCTTACGATAGCAAATGGAAGTATCGAACTTCAGTTATATAGGAAATTTTCAGCAGTTGTTTCTATCAGCTGTTTCGGTTTGTATTTATTTGATACTGGGTGGTGTGGAAACATGGTACGCGACTGGTTACGGTCATATGGGCACGTTAATACGACAGATTGGTAACGGTCAATTTAGTGGATGCTTGGGCATTCCAACTTGCGAGATCATATTCGTTGTGAAGGGATGGGCAGCTGCAGCGGTTCGTTCTCATGTCATTTTTTTGAGAATGATACATCGAGAAAGAATCACACTTGGAATGTTGCTAGCAGCGAGTGGGTTCAACTGAGCCCACAGACACGTCCGAATGTGACCCGAAAGTGAATTCGATTCGAATGCGAGAAGAATTTGATGGCTGTAAGGTCGAAGAAGAAGTTGAAGAATAAATGATCGTTCAATATGTGCTCTCAAACTGACCGAAACCAATTGAGGGGGTATTCACTCACCAGGAATCATCATGACTGTTTCATAGTCACAGAGTTTAGCTGGTGATGAATTCGTTTCTATCGTGCAGAATTCATATTCTCAGGCCAACTTCTTATGACATTAGTGAAAATTCACGACAGATCCGATTTATGCTCCAAAACGGTATCTGATGAGAGCAAATTGATTGAAATGCATGCGGAGAAAATGAGCTATTCCAATTCTGTAGCGTTTCTAATAAGCGTACTTACGTTTTGAAAGTAGAGTGAAGGTTTCAACGGATGCCAAAATTTTGATGTAACATCAAAATTTTGTCTGAATGCGGAAACATACATAGAATTATTGAGGAATGATAAATAAAGGAATATAAATCTCTAATTTCAGGCATTTTTGTTCCTTTGTGCGGTGCTTTTCTTGATCGACGTGATTGTTCAACTAATGAAACGTGACAAGTGACTTTTTTTCGTGCGTTCCTTCTCAACATCACTAACCCGAATGAATCCTCACTAACACAACTTTCGCTTATTGCCAGCTTTTTTCAGTTATCATCTTCATTTTTTGAATTCATGAATCTTCTCATTACTCTTCAATAATGAAATGAGAAGATTCAATGGGATTTGTTCAATCGCGTTGCTTAATGCTCCGTCCACTCCTATGAAGAGATCAATCCCTCATCCAATCCATGCAAATGACAACATCTTTCAAGCAATCTGTTAATCTCTTTTGTTCACTTTTCGACGGAACGTTTCGTTTCTATCGCAAAACATACGTGTAGATGACAGGCAAAAGGAGGCAGTATTTTGAAAGTGTTTTTGACTGTGATTCCACTGATTTTTGACCAGTTCATTTGCATTCCCAGGTTCCAGTGGAATTCACCTGTATAGAA